AATGATTTTATATATTTTATCCTACCCGTAACGTATGCGTGGACAAAAAACCTAGTATAACTAAAAGAAGTGAGGCAAATGAACAAGTAAAACACTATTCATTTACTCGTTCATTTGCCTTGTTTAACTATTCATATTATGGCAATTTTATAATTTTCAGCAATGGCATTTTCATAATTTCTTTGAGCTTTTTAGACATTCATTTTTAAATTTTATATTTCAATCCTTTTTTATTCCTTGTGTTTTCAAAATGTATTTTTAAATCCTCATATTTCTTAAAATTACAATACAACTAAAAGAAGTGAACAATATAACTAAAAGAAGGGAGGCAAATGAACAAGTAAAACATTATTTGTTTACTCGTTCATTTGCCTAATTTCACTAGTCATATTATGGCAATTTTGTAATTTTCAGCAATGGCATTTTCATAATTTCTTTTAGCTTTTTGGACATTCATTTTTAAATTTTATACTTCATTTCTTTTTGGCTTCTTATGTTTTCAAAATGTATTTTTAAATCCTAATATTTTTTAAAAATTAAAATATAACTAAAAGAAGTGAGGCAAATGAATAGTAAAACACTATTTATTTACTCGTTAACTTGCCTTATTTCACTATTCCTATTATGGCACTTTTGTAATTTTTAGCAATGGCATTTTCATAATTTTTTTTTCAGCTTTTTGGACATTCATTTTTAAATTTTATACTTCATTCCTTTTTGGTTCCTTATGTTTTCAAAATGTATTTTTAAATCCTCATATTTTTTAAAAAATATTTTGACATCTCATGTTTTTAACTTAATCTATTTGTTTATAACATTTTTTTCAAACTATATTTTTAAAAGATGTTTTTGGCTTCTTATGTTTTTAAATTTTAAAATAAAGATATATATATGTATGTATGTATGTATGTACGTACGCATCAAATTATATTTTTTATTGATTAAAATTAATCTCTCAAGATTTGTCATTTATTATAAAAATTCTCAACAAATCAAATTTTTTATTTTTTATAAAATTTTATTTGTTAATAAATATGATTTATCTTTCTATGTGTATGAATTTTTAATATGTTTTTAATAAATGATAGAATTCACGTGTTTCTTTACCTTATTCTTGATATAATCAATTTTTTGGAATAAAATTTTAAATTATTTTTATTATGTTCTATTAACTTTAATATATTTCTTACAACTTAAATTTTTTTGAATGTATTTTTTAATTTGCATAAAGATGGTAATGATGTATACAAAAGAGTATTGAGACCATTGATTTTATTAAAAATTAATTTTGCATTTACACATGTAACACTAGCTATTTCCTGTTATTTATTTTTAATATTCAAATTTTAATTTATTTTAAATAAAATAATATTTTAAAAGAGCCACCTAATAATCCAAATACAATTATTGATTGTTTGTTTGTGTGTGTGTGTGTGTGTGTGTGTGTGTGTTCCCGGGGGGGGGTGTATATCAAATGTACATATTTTTAAAAAGTTTCAAAAAATTCGTTAGTTGATTTTTATATAAGTTTTTATAGGTTAATGATATGTTTCTCCAATATAGCCTTGTAAGAAATATTAAGATATTTTTTAAAAAATTATATTTATATTATTGTAGGTTTTTATTGAAAAATGAATGAATAGAAAAAAAAAACGAATCGTGTTTTTTTAACAACAAAATCTATGAAAAACATAAAGAAGCACGAATGAAATACAAAATTTGATTTAAAAATTATGATACTAAATAAATTTTTTATCTTTTATTTTTAATTTAATTTATATTAGTAGAAAAAACTAAACTAACCGAGACATTTACTATTTTTTTAGACTTAGATTCAGTATTCATTATGTTGCTTGATTTTCATCCTCGCTCGTTAATTTCTTTTTTGAAACTCGATGTGTTTGAGAAACTTCATTTTTACCCTTGACTGGTTCTCTTTTTAATTTTATTTTTGGGCCTTTTCATCATTTTTTTTTTCAAATTGAGCATTTAATGCCGCTTGTCTTCTTTCAATTTTTTTTTCTTTTTATTTTTGACAGGGAAGCCAAAGTCATTTGCTATTCAAGAGTGATTATAAACTAGTCTCTCTTTCTTCAAGAAACAAATTAACTAGTCCTCGTGGTTCAGAAAATATTTTTTTGCCCTTTTTGCTATTTCAATGTTTTTATTTTTTGTTTTTTAAAATAGAGAAAGAATAAAAAAATAAGTAAAAATAAAATTTTTATAAAATAAAAAATAAATTATTCATGGTCAACACTGATTAAAAATTTTATTTTTGAAACCAAAAGAATTAATTTATTTATTTCTTAAAACGAGATGAACCAATTTATAATTTAATTTGTAGTTCAAGAATCTCTTTCATCATGGATTAAGAAGTAAAATTTATAAAAACTAATTTGTAATAGTTTTTATTTCAATTTATTAACTTTAATATATTCCATACAACTTAGATTTTTTTTAAAAAAAATATATATATATATATATATATATATATATATATATATATTAATTGAAAATTAATTATGTATCTCGCTTATATAACACCATTAGTCCCTCTAGTAGTTTACTATAAAGACACGTAGAATTCAATGGAAAGGATCCATGATGGACTTGTTTGCATCAAGTGTTGATTTTAGCTTCATTTCAACAGATTAAAAAAAGCATGATAAAAAATTATCTCCTAACGTGCTCCAAACATCCAAAAAAAAAAAAAAACCGTTTTTGAAATCTCTTTGGTTTTCTTGTAATTTTGTAAACATTTTTGTGTTAGAAAATTTATTTCATACCACATAAATAACTCACGAATAATTAATATATAAAAGCGAAAGAATACCATATTTCGCAACTTTTAAATAATTTTTTAAATGAAATTCAATTTTAATTATTAAATTTAATGTGATATTATAGGTTCATCAACTCATAAAAAATCTAAAACTCTAAAAAAAAAAGGTTTTTAACCGAAAACCATAAAATCGAATCGAGAAATTTAGTTTTTTAATGAAAAAATCATACCTCAAAATCAAATAATTATTTTATATTTTAGTTAATTTGATTAATAAAAAAAACAAAATGAAACAAAAAATTCGAACAATCACCTTAGTTTGGGTTCTCTCTCATGAAAAAGAATAATTATCGTATATTTTTTCATTTTGTATGCAAAATAATCACTTCAAGTATAATAAAACAACATACACTAGATGTCAATGATTAGAATATGTTTAGCCGTAGGCTTTAGATTTTCACGAAAGATGCTTGCTCTTAGTCAACTTATTGATATAAATACCAAAGAGTACGACTCTAGGAGACAATACTGCGACAAACTTCTTGCTATAACTCATATATGGCTGTTTCTTTTTGCTTTATTATGGGCAATAATATACGGTGGGAAAACTCAAGAATATGTTTGGCAAACTGAATAAACTGTAGTTTAAATTCTTGCTAAATTGGTTTTATCATTGGTTTTGATCGATTAGGCACAACTCCAAATTTTTCTTAAAGAAAAAAGATGTGGTCATAAAATAAATAATAATAGTAGTCATACAACTATTACCCACAAGACAAATACATCACCAAAGGCAAAAGCTTATCAATTAATGAATTACTAAATTTATCTAAGGTAACCTATTCAGAGAGCATAAGAGATTAATTTTGTATTTTAAATCATTATTTCTACATTGCTTTTTTGGAAAAATTCAATCTATTTTAAAAAAAAAATCCTAAATTTTTATTTTATTTTATGAAAGTTAAAAATGTAGAAAATCGATGAAAAATTAAAAATAATCCAAAACAATCTCAAAATTTTGGGGACCCAAGATAAATTTTACCAAATGATTTCTTTCATGAAACTATTTATGTGGTTGTTATTTTTTTATATATATATAAAACTAAAGAATGCACGAAATCTAAAAAAAAAAAAAATCAAAGGAGGTTAAACTCAAAGTTTAAAAGTTGATTTTTCAAATAGACTAAAATTCAAGAGAGATTTGATCCATTTTAGCCTTTTTTTTTTTTTTTTTAACAGTGAATTAGATTTATTTTCTACTCATAGTATAAATTGCACGACTATAGTTAAATGACTGAAATTCAAACAAGTCAACAAAAACATAGGTGGTCAGAATGAACCTAAAATCTTTTCAATTTTTTACAAGAGGTTTTTCTGAGGCATTTTTATCTTATAAATTAGGAGGAAACTATATTTTAAAATATAAAGCGAGAGAAGTTTTTGAGAAATAAAGGGAAGTATTGTCAGTTTAATTAAATTGTTATTATGACTCAACAATATACTCATTTTTATTTTTCATCAGGAGTGTTCATTTGGTTTTTGAGTTTCGTTTTGTAATATCTTGATTCAATTTTCAGTTAATCAAACTTTTTTTTAAAAAAAATCCAAATTGAATAATAATTCAAATTCTAATAATTTAAGTTTATTTAGTTATTCATCAAAAAGTTTACTTAGTTATTAAATAATGAAAAATAACCGCTCTTTGTACAAGAACCACGAGCTTTCTAATAAATAATAATAATAAAAGGTATTATTGCAGAATTTGTTTTAAAATGTGGATTAAATCAACTGGAAAAAAAAAAAAATCAGCCTGGAGAACCCAGTATTTTTCAGGTTTATAGTTTCTTGACAAGCAGGCTGGATTTCATTACTGGCCTAGGAAAGGGCCCAAACTGTTAATAGCAAGTCAGTCACGGCCCATTACCCCACAAATCCTTTCCGTTGTATGAAATAAAACCACCAAAAGCAAAAGCAGAAGTGTCAGAAATATAAAAAATTCCCATCAGAGTCAGATTCTGTCAGAGTATTAAATGAAATTCTGCAGGGCTTCGTCGCTTTACTTTCCAAAAAACAAAACTCCCTTCTTCGCTTCGCTTCTCTCCTCTTGTACTGAAGTGAAGAAGAGTGAAGAAAATGGGAGCTTATAGCAATGAAAAATTCTCTTCATCTCCAATTTCCGATTTTGAAAACACCAGATTATCAAAACACGTTCCCCATAATGGCCATGGCAACATTTACCTCGATCCGGTACCCAAGCTCATTTTCTCTCTATTTAACTTTTTCATTTTTGTTTTTTACAAAAATATGGTTTGCTTTGGATTGTAGCTCTCTTTGAAGTTCATTGATAACGAATAGTTTCAGAGGCAGGTTTTTCTGCTTTTCTTCATATAAATTTTTTTCTGCTTTATTCAATTGCTCTTGATGCTTGTTTATTTTATTTATTTATTTATTACAGGCTGCGGGACCTTAAACAACTCGGTGAGTTTTGTGTTCTTTGTCGAAAATGAAAAAAGAAGGCTTGAAAATTGACCTTTTATTTTTTTTTTTAATTACGAATATTAGGAATTGAGTTAAGATTTTCGTGTGTCCTAGGTTGCGCATATGGTTTATCCTCGGTTGTGCATTCCACGTTTGAGCATTCTCTCGGCGTGTATTGGCTTGCTGGTGAAGCTGTTCAAATGCTGAAAAAGTACCTGGTAATAAACCTATACTCAACAGTCTCGAGTTATATTCCACTGATCATTGTCATTGCAGCATTTTCGTTTTTGTTTCTACTTATATTTTTATATTCATATTTGGTTTTTATAATTGTAGGGTTTGGAACTAGTTATTGATAAATTCGATATTCAGACAGTGAAACTTCTAGGTAGCTTAACATGTTTTACTTTAAGTGCCTTTTTCTAATGTTATCTTGTGTTAAGGCTTTTGCTCTGTAATTTTTCATTCAATTTGTAGGACTTCTGCAGGATGTGGGTCATGGTCATTTTTGTTGTAAAGTAAACTTAATTATGGCTAAGTATAAATAAATAAGTATGAATGTAGTCATTACATTCATGAACATAGTTATATGTGATGTGTCATTAATATAATGTTTAGTATTCTATGTGTAATAATTAAGGGATGTCTAGTTACATGTGTATGAGTATCTCTATATATAGTTATAAGTGATTTAATGTTATGTAGAGTGGAGTGAGTTAGGTTTCTAATAAACAAAGTGTCTTTTATAAAGTGTTCTTGTGTCTCCTCCCTCTTCAAGTAATTTCCTTCTTGTTATCTTTGTGTGGTGTCTGAAATCTATCTCTAGAAGCAACCGATTATAACTCTCTCAACTTGTGAAGCTGAGTATGTCGCTGCTGCTGCGTGTGTTTGTCCTGTTATTTGGCTGAGAAAATTGCTTGAGATGATGCAAATGTCACAAAGTGAAGCTACTGAAATTTTTGTTAATAACAAATCCGCCATAGCATTGGGAAAAAATCCAATTTTTCATGATAGAAGCAAGCATATAGATACAAGATTCCATTTCATAAGTAAGTGCGTTAGCAAGAAGGAAGTGCAATTGAAGTATGTGAACTCACAAGATCAAGTTCCTGATATATTCACAAAGCCTTTAAAGTTTGAAGATTTTGCTAGACTAAGAGCAAGTCTTGGTTTAACCAAAATTCAAGTTTAAGGGAGGATGTTAGTAGATAAACTTAAATTAATTATTATCATTATTAGTGGTATGTGATAAGTCTTGGTATTTTAAGAGTTTACGATAATGTTCATGAATGGGATATCAAAAATTTATCTTGGTGATTAAGATTTATGGCTATATACAGTGTATTTATCGTTATGAATAATATCAGTTTTCCTATCTTCTAAATTTCAGTCTATTATTCTTCTCTCTTGTGCCAACAATCAGACACCACACAAAGATAACAAAAAGGAAATTACTTGGAGAGGGAGAAGACACAAGAACACTTGATAAAAGACACTTTGTTTATTAGAAACTTAACTCACTCCACTCTATATAACATTAAATCACTTATAACTATATATAGAAATACTCATACACATATAACTAGATATCCCTTAATTATTACACACAGAATACTAAACATTATATTAATGACATATTACACATAACTAGGTTCATGAATGTAATGATTACATTCATATTTAGCCATAATTAAGTTTACTTTTCAACATTTTCTCCCTTGGGTTATGAATGGCACAAAATGGTACATTCTACATCTTAGAATGCATTTATATCTGTTTTGCTTGTGATTATACAAATCAGTTGTTGGATGCTGTAGAATTAGAAGCCTGAATTTGAGTTTTTTTTTCCCCCCAAGAAAGGACCCCCATTCCCGAAATCTATCTATATCTGTGATCTATCTGTTTATATAGGTGTAAGACTAAAACAATTCAATGAGTTAATTGTTGCCAAGTCAGCATCTTGAGCCAATCAAAACTCGCAAAGTGTTAAAATGAACCCAACGAGATGTTGCCACATGGAATCTCCTAATTAATGTATGTTCTAACATAAAATCTTTAACTCCTCAATTGCTCTCCGTCATGAATTTTATTCACATTGTTTTTATTTTCCCCATATTATAATTCTAATAATGTTGGATGTATTGAGTTGTCGACGTTTTGTTTACTATAAATTCCTTTCATCTTCTTAAGAAAGGATGTTGCAAAAACTCTATATATAAATAGCTAAATCAGTCTACTCGAATTCTTTTTTCCTAATCAATAGCTCAACTACCTTTTAAACTCTTTCCAACCACTATATGTTAAATACTGAACGTGTACTCCAAAAATCACAAATCCAAATGGAGCTTTACATCTGTTGCTTGCTTTCCTTTTATATATATATATATATATATATATATATATAAACAGCCAAATTGAAATTACGTTAGAAAAACTTGAATTTAAAATTGTATACGTAAAGTTAAAATTATATACACTGTCAATTGTATGGCTTAAAACAAGAGAATAAAATACACCTTAACGTGTACAATCTTCACCGACAGGCGACAGCATAACATAGGAGTAAATTATAAATTGGTCCCTCTGGTTTTATGAAATGAATTAACTAGTTATTTTTTTAAAAAAACTAATTAATTAGTCTCTGTTTTTTCTTTTCCCATCATCATTTAATATGATAAAATGATTTCTTCTTGAAAATCAATAAAGTGTTTGGCCGTACTATTTTGTTATTTCTTAAGATTCCTTTGTACCTTTTGTTTTTTTTTTTTTTTTTTGGCTGTCACTTGAGCCTCCAAATGATTTTGAAGTTACCAATTTCACTTTTTGTCCTGATTCTGTCATGAACTTGTTATCAAGAATCTGAGGAAGATTGTGTAGGACCAGTGCGCTTGCCATTTGGCAGTTTTCACATGGACGTGTAGCTTTGGAATTTGCCTGATACGCTTCCGACCTGCACAACAAGCTTGCTTAATTTTTTGACTGATTCCAACAGATTGCAATGATGCTTGTTGAGTAGATTGCAAGGCATCTATCTTCCTTTACGTCATGCATTGTTTTCTGTCTTGTGTCTTCTTCTTCTTCTTCTTCTTCTTTTTTACTTCTTGTTTTCCCTTATCATAATTGCAGGTATGGGGTTTGGTCAAGGCATGACCAATATCTGTCGTGGCACAGCTGCAAATCAGAGTACTGTGGTGTTCATCTTCAGCGGGACTTGTTCCGTGCTTGCAAGGAGCTGAGAGGCTTCACAAGCTTTAAGCTGAGGCCAGAGAGCAAACGTGGGAGGACTGAGTTCCTGCAAATTGTTTCCCATGGCTAATTTGATGATCTTAATATTTTTCATTTTCTTGAGATATTTTTTCCATTACACTATCAGTATCCAAACTTTATTATTCTTTTTCTTTTTATGTGTAGTAGTTTTAATGTAATAAAATTCTCGTTGATTGGCTGTATTTGATGTAACTGTTATGTTTGGCAGCATAATTAACCTTCTGCAAGCAATAATATCCGCAATACAAATTCCTTATAAAGTTTTAGACTTCTTAATTAACTTTAATATATTCTGTCGGATATATATATATATATTCTCAAATCAAATATTTAATCTCGATTGACTAACTAGGTTAAAAATATCTTTTAACGTCAAATAAAACACAAAATTGAAACAATGGTTCAAGAATTTGTCCCCAGTTTCTTGTCGTGTCCCTAGTTTAATGCTTCGAACTCCCTTGTCTAAGCCATTGGCTCTGCTTTGCATTTACTTTGTTGTCTACTCTCACCTTACAGTACTATATAATACTTTTTGAGTCTTCTTCCTTTATTGCTACGGTTCCTTATAAAGAAGGTCAGAGTACAGCTTTGAATGGTACAGGGCTACAGGCTTTTCTTTGTAGAAAGAAAGACAGTGGAAATTCAAACTCTGTTTCATTGGAAACACAAGTCCAGCAATGCAGTTTCCTTTTGTGTGAAACAAACTTAAAAAAAGGTACATTACATTTACACAGGTACTTGTAAAGCATGAAATAGAAGCAAACTTCAGCCAGCACAGACCTACGAACACTGGCAAATATCTCCAGTGATGCTGCACTAAATCCACCATTAATTCTAATGCTCTTAATATCTCTGACTTGAATGAGAAATTTGGGCCGAAGAGGAAATCACATAGAGAAGATTTTGTGGGTATTAATTCAGCTGCGGCAGTTAGGGAAAATTGTAATCATCGATCCCAATTCGATGCTCTCAGTGCAACGACAGATCAAGTGGACAGGGTAGTTGGGGAGTGAAACGGCGCAGCAGTTATTGCAAAAAATTTGGATATTTCCAGTGAAGTGGATAGGGTAGCTGGAGAATGAAACGGGGCAGAGTTCTTTAACAAAATTAGGGTTTATGTTTTTTTTTTTAAAAAAAAAAAAATCATGTTTCATCCCTTCTAGATATTTAACTTTTTTAGATAATTTAGTTTTTTTATCCCTAATAGATATTCAACTTTATGAATATATAAGTTACGTCTCTAAATAATTCTAAATTTTAAGACATATAGTTTCGTCTTAAATATTATAATTCATCCTAAAATAATTTGTTTTCACAAAAAATACATTCGACAAGCTGCACGCGAAGTGAAAAATTAGACGTCAATGATTTGAGGATGAAATATATATTTTGTTAATAAATATTCATATTGGGACGAATATGAATTTATAGGCAAAAATTTAGTAGCTAAATTTGAAATTTATTGTAGAGTTGATGGAAAAGAAGAGTATTACCAACTTGTTATTTTTGACTAAACAAACTCGTTTGAATTTTAGATTATGTGGAATTAATTTTTAGTGGTGGAATTAATTGCAAGTTTTCTTTTTTCTTTTATATTTTTGTATTTATCAAAATAAAACATATTTTTATGATATATTTAAACTCAATTATGAAATATATATATATATTTTTTTATTAAATATTGATGTTTCGAGGTATAGAGGTGGACGAGGAAGACCATTTAGAAGGCCACCCAGTGAAATCAGGACTGGATCTCTTAGGGTAGACATAATGCCTGAAAACTCCATCGTATTCAAGAACTGCAATGTGGTAAAATTCTTGAATTGTTGGAGATTCAGATGAAGCATTTTTAGTATGCTTCCATTTTTTGCTGCAAAAATAAATGTTTCCAGACTGGTTGAAGATTAACCGAAAGCCATTGCCTTCAGTTTGAGCTGACCAATAGGCAGAATTATTTTTTAATGGAATTCCAAAAATCGCAGGCTCAAAAGCCTTATAGTGGCTTTTGCTTCCATTATAAGCTGAATCAACTGTCAGCTGATTCTAGTATTGGGCTTCAGAATTAAAGGCCATGGAGTAGCTTGACCTAGTTCCATCATAAGCTGAATTAGACATTAGCTTATTTGAGTTCTGATTTCTAAAATCAGAAGTTAATTCACGAACTTGGGGAGCTGAGTTAGCCATCAGCTCATTTAAGTTTTGAATTTCAAAACGATCAGAAGCCACAAGGTGGCTTAATTCACTTCCGTCACTAGCTGAATTCACAGTCATCTCATTTCTGTTTTTATCTTCATAATCAGAAGCCATGCTCTGACTTGGTGCAGCTTCAGAATCAGAGACTGAAGAAGCCATATGGTGATTTTCTTCACCTCTATTGATCTTCTCCAATTTACAGAGAACATAATCCTCCTGCAAACGTCAAAACACGAAAGTGAAATATTCGTTCAGACCACAATTTCCCAACCCATACATCAAACACAGGGTTACATTAGCCTTGGAAATTAAAGCTGGCATTTCCATTTTTATAGAGGCTAGAATCTGTGATGATGTCAAATTCATGTATCATCCATTCAGTCCTCATATCTTTGGGCAGAGCTGTTTTGTAGAAAGTTAGAAGTCTTGATTACACTAATCTTTTTCATAGTATGCTCAGCCATCATTGCCTTTATCTTGCTGGTTAACTTCCAGTACCCGGCCTTTGTTTTTCGGTTAGCAAGTTTGCTTTTCTTGTACTTAAGATCGCGAGGGCAAAAGAAATACCACTCTTGATCTGCTAACTTTATCATTGCCTTGTCTGCACAGAAATAAATCCACCCACATTAACAAAATATTCTGACAAAAACAAAACAACCTAGCTAGTATACCTATATTGTTATTGTTATTACCAGGTAATTCCCATGGTTCATTCTTGCAAAGGTTAATCACTGCCATGGGCACGCCTTTCACTGGATCGCCACGGGATTTTGGCTGCAAATAATTGCTTATTGATTCTTCAGGAGATGGTTGGAATTTAAATCCAGCTTCCATTAATCGTATTAAGCTTATTGGATTTGCCAACACTAACAAACCAAAAAGAAATAACACTAATAACAGATATCAATTAGGAGTATTTTAAGAAAATACATTGTTTAGGATTGACCTGACAGTTAACAGATATATATATATGTATATATATATATAAAAGAAGACAATCATCTCCTTTAACGTAGAAATAACACTAATATTGTACTAGTTTTGCATAATATATAAAGAATCTCTTACATAAATATATGTATTTTATTAGGATTATTTTCCATTTATACACATAGAGTGTATACAGTCGCAACTAGGAAATATTAGATTGGGGAATATTCATTAGGTTTATTTTCCATTTACATATAGAGTTTTTTAGAAAAATATCTCTAAAAAATGGAAAATATGATTTTGTGATAAATACGATATTTTTTTCCATTAAGAAAAATTAGAGAAGGCGATTTTTTAATTTTTCATCTTTTAACTAGATTAGAAAAACTCTTTTTTTTAATTATTTTTTCTAAATTTCTTCAATTAAAGTGTTGTTTTGGTTAATTAGACGTCATTTAAAAAGGGGCTTGGGGTACGTATTCCTAAAATCAGCCGAGATTATTGTTTAATCCAGATAAAGTTATTTCGCTTTTGGGCTACTGTCCATGTTTTGGCCTTTTTGGCTATTTGATGTATTAAGGCCTTGCCTTCTTCATTTTCTTGATTAATTGTACATAATTAATATTATATCCTCTCGTCTTTATATATATATATATACACACACACACTTTTTGTTCCGTTTTTAGAAGCTTGATAAAGTTCGTTGAAAAAATCCTAAAATTTTTCGAGATCAAAAGGTAATTTTTTTTTTTTTGAACATTAAAGAGGATGAAATTTTCGCAATTTTCAACAAATAAAATCAGTGACTTAAATGAAAGTAATAAAATTGTAAAGATCAAAATATAAGAAGGAAAAAAAAACGATAAGTTGATAACTTAAAAGCTTTTTTAAGTTACCTTTTCCTTTGTTGTGGCCATTCGATTTCAGAGAAATCTTGAGATAACTTAAAAGCTATAAAAAGTAACATTTTCTTTAATTCGTAATCTCCAAGTGAATAAAAAAGTATTGAATTGAATATTGTTACCTGAGAGTTTTGATTCTGAATGTTTTTTAATATCTAAGGAGATTTGACTGAATGTTTTTTAATCAATTCAGTCAATTCACTTCCAACTACCGTAGAATAAATTTTTATTGGTGACATGGAAAATGGAACTATTTTATTTTATTTTTTAATGGAATTATCCTACTAATATGCAGACTCTATATAATGAACTCACTCTCTCCGTCTCACTTGCTCTAGTTACCTATTTCACTAGCTTCTCAGAGTCTCTGTTTCACATCCTCTCTTGTTTGCTTTCTTCAATTGAAAATGAATATAGATCCTTTCCGCAAACTTATAGGCTGCAGCTGCATCCTCTGCAGAAGAATGCTCCTCTGCCCCCTTTCTCCTTGGTTCCCCTATTGCTGTCACCTTTCTCCTTCTTCTTTCTCCTCTTGCTACTATAGATGATGTCAAAGAATATGGTAGCAAGAAGAGAAAGAAGAAGAGGTGGGTGGCAGCAGTAAGGGAAAAAGGAGAAAGGAGGCAGCAGTAAGGGAAACAAGGATGAAGATGAAAACTAGTTGGGTTGGTTTTTGAGTAGAAATTAGGGTTTTTTTTTTTTTTTAATTTATACGTTGGGTTTTATGTTTGGTACGTTGTTAGGGCCTTCTTTTTTCATGTAAGTTTGGCAGGTTCTATAATGCAGGGTTCTTTCTTGCTTGTGTTCAATTTGAGTTTATTTGTCATCTGGTTGGTTTTAAAGCTGTGATGGTGTGTAGTTATCTGTATTATGCATTGAAATTTGAGTTATGAGTTCTTTTTGTTCATTAAAATCCTTGTATTATAATTCATGGGATTTTGAAGGAAAAAAAGGGGTTTTTTTATAAAAAAATTGACTGTGTGTTTGATTGACAGGTAATATGATTTCCTGGTGGGTTTGACAGGTTCTGTAATGCAGGATTGCCAAGTGATATCACTGTTGTCGTGGATGGTATAAAGTTCCATCTTCATAAGTTAGGCTGATATTCACCTACTTGAAGGGTTTGAGAACTACAGTAACTGATTCATGTTCCTTTTGTTGTTTTGTGAACCTGTCTTTTAATAATTTTGACTTCCTTATTCATTGTTTATGTAAAATTGTGGACAGTTCACCCTTTTCCTCCTAGAATTTTTTACCTAAATATGTTTGCTGCTGTTCGCTTTGTTGTGCATACTCTTTTAACTTCGAAACTTAAATAAGTGTTTTGTTTGAGGTCTATTCTGTTATTAATTATTATGTCTCGTTATCATGGACTTAAACATAAAAAGTCGGATATGAGTGATGCTGATGAATTCCTTTTGTCAAATGTCTACCCTCTGTCATTAGTAATTATCAATAATATTTTTTTGTCTGGTTATCTTAGACTTAATACATCTGGTGCACAAGGTGAAAGCAATTGCTTGTACTTAGCCTGTGAATAGAGTGCCCATCGTGCTACAGGAAGCTTGAAGGTTTAGTTTACATCTCTTTAACCATCTGGTTTGACCTTTTCTTTTAAAAAATATTCACATAGCATTTTTTCATCATGCCTGGTATGAATTATAAAGTCTTTTTCAATAATCTAGTGCCTCCTATGCTTGATGTGATCAAACTCAACTGTATGACCTTTTTTATTTCAAAGACTTTCTTAATATGGAGCTGCTGAGATTAATCAAATTGGATTTTGGAAATATCGATAACATGTTATTGCCCAGCTTCCGCTGGTGTCAAGATGTGGGAAGATTGCACGAATACGTGAAGAATCCTCTGAAAAGGCATTTGTCACAGTATTTGACGAATTCCCTGGTGGTCCAGATACTTTCTTGATTGCAGTAAAGTTCTGCTAAGGCTTACGGATGGAATTGACACCAAGAAACATAGTAATGGTGTATCGTGCCTTACAAGTTTTGGTTCTCAAACACAAGCAATTTCCATCAATTTTTTTAGTTTCTGTCAGTAAAAGGGTGGTAGGCTTCAAATATATAGCCTGCTTATAACGGTCATAACTATATACAATAAAGTCTCATTCTTCTTCAATTGGCCATCCAAGTATCTTTCCTACATCGAGGACCACATAAGTTACTACAACAAATGCCACACCTGGACTTCAGATAAGCAGAAAGACTGTAGCATTAAAAAAGAGAGCTCCCACAAGGTAGCAATCAATCTCCACTTCCACAGCCTCCACAACCACAATGCACACACTCAACAACCTTCTCTTCCCTCAGATGCTTGGGAACCCTGCACACACAAGTTGTGCCGAAGTTGTGATCCCTGGGCTGGATGCAGCGGAGACAGCACAATCGTTCATATCCTGGCTGTAATTCAAAAAAGAAACTCAACATTAACAGGTTTTCGGATCTGCATGGACCAAACAAGCCGTACTTAGTGCAACAAACATTCACAAGTTGCAAATCCAAAAGCAAAGCAAAAGAATCAGAAATTAACAATCTAGCTCTTACACACATCAAACTGAAAGAAAAGCAAAGTAAAAGGTGCAAACATTTGCAATTTAGCTCATATACACAGCACACTGAAAAGAGTAAAAAAAACACAAATTGAGGATAAAAAAATTAGCAACTAGCTCATATAAATATTGAGCTCACTCAAATATTATCTGAAACCGTTGGTTGAAGAAAAACACTCAGCAATGCACTGACAGCTTGAATTCATACAATTCTAAAGTACATATTGGAAGGGAAAAGTATTTGACACTCAGCAAGCGACGAACCCAACTCACCATTCCTCACACAACTAAGCATTTGTCAAACAAAAGGAAATATAACCAATACAGCAATTATAAAAAGTAAAAGCCCTAAAGGAACAGCAAAGAACTAAACAAACCTTCTTCCATTTTGCAATTAGGTTACGATCCCCATAACCTTGATCCAAGCAGAACTCATAGAGCTCTTTAGATATCTCATTCCTTCTATAATAAAGATCATATATATATCGGCTCTTTTGATGTGTGATTTTGAAAATAGGCCACAGAGCTTCGCACTTTCTCTTGCCATCATGTGGATCGAGTTCAGCTGCAAAAACATATAAAGTAAAAATCCCCTTAATCAACAAAAAAAAAAAAAGCAATACAATATTAAATCATAAGGATATAATTGAATACATATTCAACCTTCTCTCATCTTCCCATCCAGTTCGCGAAGCGTAGGCTCAATCAACTCCCATCCCTCTGGGTATTTGACCCGGTTTGTCCTCACTTTTGGCATTTTGACACTGCTGTTAAAAGTAATTCATGGAATTAGCTAAAAACCTAATAGCTAAGAGCAATTTGCATTATTAAATGTTACATTGAATTCAAGCAATGAAAATTTCAAATTACAAAGAACTCTAAAACATGAGACTCATGATATTCGTGTGAAAGATTTGAATATTACAAAGAACTCTAAAACAGGTGGTGGTTTTCCTGTTACTACACTGTTCTTTCTTTTTTCTGTTGCAATCTAAAATTCAAATTAAGACAAAACAATGATAGAAATCAAGCCATGAAAATTTCAATGCCAAGCTAAAAAAAAAACATACAATAACTACACAAATCTGAATAAAAAATTTTCTTTACTTTTCCCCTCTATATCTGACTGCAGATATAATTTGTATTCCTAAAAAAATCTGAACTCAAATAGCATCAGCAAGCTTAGTAGAAGCACCACGCTCCCTCTCAGCAAGCGTAACAACTACGCAAGTAATGCATGCCAAGGCGTTAAAAATGTTGGTGAAAGACATGATATCAACGCAAGAAAACATGCCAATTCATAATGCAAGCCCTTCAAGAGTGAATTAATTACCTTCAACTGAACTAGAAACCTTCCCTCTGTGTTTCTCGATCTCCCTTTTTCCAGTATTGCTGCATAAATCAAGAAGAGTTAAAATCCAACTAGCCATGTAGTGTAAGAGATCGCAATCAACAATTAGAATAATGAACATACATGTGTTCGAGAAAGACGGCCTGGTAAAGAGAATTCAACAATAAAGAATTGCTAAATTTTATTAAATAAATAATAGGGGGGCTTTTTTCAATTGAAAATTAATGAATGAAGTGCATAGAAACTGAAGGATTTAAATACTTATTATGTTAGATTTAAAGGGAAAAAAATAAAAACAAAAAACCTGAAGGAAGGAATTGGAAATGAGAGAAACAAAAGAAAACCAAAGAAAATTAATTCTTGAAGCATAGAAACTTACGCCTAAAAATCTAAATCTGTCAAATTTGTTGATGAGTTATTTAAGTGATGGGGATTGTGGATTCAGATGGATCCGTGGTGTGAAGTATGGCGAGAAGAACTATGACTTTTGTGGGTGGTGAACGGCAATGGGGATAGTTGATATGGTGCCACTGGTGGCCGGAAGAAAAGAGAGGATTTTTCTAGGGTTTTCTGGGTTAAGTCCGGCTGGAAAGAGAAAAAAATAGGAGATCGGGAAAAAATGGGTTTTTATAGGTAGAGTTTCGGGTTGAGTGATTCAATTACTTTTTAGTCCCTGGTGTTGTTTATGTTTTTTTTTTTTTTTTTTGATCTGGTACCCCTTTATTTTTTTCACTTTCACTCCTAATTGAATTTATTTCCGCCCCTTTCTTTTAATTCTTTTGATTTTTTTCCAAATTTGTCTGCAAAAGGGTACTGGGCATTTTATTCTTCCAATTATGCCCCTAATTAAATCTTTTTGGTCTTTAGTTTCTCAATTATTTCAACAGACACCCGTATATCTCTTTTTTAAAAATTTCTTTTTCTTTCTTTTCTCTATTTTTTTATGCCCGTAAATAATTCACAAAATTTTTAAAAAATCATAAAAACTAATAAAAAGTTTTAGTTTTGAAAAAATAAAATTGATTGAACAAAAAATATTTAAAATGAATTTTTTTATTTGAAAAAATAATGAAAAATTAGAGTTAAAAATGGATGCTAACAACATCTATGGAGTAAAATCTAGTCGACGTAAAGAATTTTTCAGGGACAAAAGATGGAGATAAGGGTAGCAATTTGTTGTTGTGGCTTGGATAAATTCTTTTTAATGTCAATTTTTCTGTATTTTTGTGATTTCATTTATATTTTAAATATTGTCAATAAGTTTGGATAATAGAGTAAACAATAAGGAGAGGGATAAAGGAAAATGAAGAATGATGGTCAGAGTAGGATAAGCACTTAAGATTGGGTTTTATGGAGAGGTAATTTCGTCTTTTTGTAATCTTATTAATATAACCTTTAATCCATTAATCGAGGATGTAGAGAATGTAAAAAAAATTGGATCATGCAAGTGTTAAAAATCAGCATATTATTTTATTCTTGATAACATACTGTTTTGTTATTACTTTTTAAAAAAATATAATATGAATAACTTAAAACATTATTATTTTCAGCAACCATCCTATCAATTAAAAATACATGGATCATTATGTTTTTGCATAATTATATATTCAATTATTCAAATATAATTTTTTATTTTAATATTTTTTTTTGTGAATAAATATATAAAAATCAAACGTGCATATTTTCAAAGACTAATAGTCTCATCATATTGAATAAAAATAAAAAAAATTATTTATTTATTTTTATGTCAGCTTTTACATTAATTGCTATTTACTTTTTTCGACACGAGTCTTATGAAATACTATTTTTTATATACATGTATTTTGTATTGAATTCTCTTTTTGTTTAAGAATCCATATATAAAGAAGAATTATTATTTAAGTAGGAAAATCATGAAAAACACAAAAGAAATAATTAAATATAACAAAATGATTAAAATATTATAAAATTGGATTATCTTTTTTATTTTTGATTTTATATATTTTTATTGACTCATAACATAGCTCAAATCATTAAAACGAAACGATTTTTTCAAATTATTTCACATATTCAATCCAACTCGCAAGCATAGCGCAGAAAAAAACTTAATAATTTTAAAAATCTAACCGTAAAAAATAATTACTGAGAAATGGGCATTACTGTTGATGAAATGAAAATCAATTTTCCTATTTTTCAATTCCTCAGTTTGGCTTCTTACATGGAAAAAAATTATGCGTTAAAATTATATACAAAAATCGGATTTAATAAAATTATTACTACTTTTGTTCCAAAAAAATTAGCTCATTTGATTTTCAGATAGTTTAAAAAAAATATTAATTATCATGTCATATCAACATTTATTGTTAATACTTTTTTAAAATATTTTTCATTAAAATTGATAGTTATCGTATTTAATTTTACATTATATGAAGCCTATATATATATATATATATATATATATATATATAAAGAATCTATTCAAAATCAAGGTAGTAAATCAAAGAAAAACCATTAAGATAATTAATGCTGAGTTTAAAAAAATTATAAATAAAAAAATATATTAATAAAAAATATTTTTACTTTCAAAATTTCAGCACACAGTACAGTCTCTTTAATAATAAATATCTTTTGTATAATAAAAAAGTTTTTTTTAAAAAAAATTGAAGTTGATTTTTTGGTTAGTGAACAACAAGAAGTGAAAAAAAAAAGAATTAATTTTTTTTATCAACTATAAAAAAATACATTATTTAAAGTTTTGATCAAATAAATATTTTAAAATAAGTATAATAATAAAAAAAAGAATAATTTTTTTTCGAGACAGATAGAGTATGTTTTTACTCGAGTTGCTATAAATAGTCTTTTTTCGGTCTCAAAAAATTGTTTACATTGCTATTCCTATTTATCTCAATATATTTGTTTGATCTAAACTTTAAATAATACATACTTAATTAGAATATCTTATATAAACATTTGTTCAAATAATATATAACAATTAATAATTTTTTAAATTTATGTGACAAAAACAATGACATAGGAAGTATAAATGTATGAATTGGATTGTAAAAACCACAGGCATGTAACATCGAAAGTTAGGATTTCCCATGACTATTAAAATTTATCAAACTCTTATAATTTTTCTTGAAAAAGATATAGTTCGTAAAATAATTGTGTTATCTTCTCGTACGAAGACAAAATGTATATCAATCGACAGCAATCGGTCTGGTTCCTAGTTTTCTGTCGGGCAAGTCCGTCACGCATGCCAGACGCCCATAGGGCCCAATACTGATCATTTAGATCGTCTGGGCCAATCCTTCTATCACTTGTGTCCTGTGACCTGTCCCAACCGAGCAACCAATCTTTGAAACGCTGTCGTTATAGTTTCGACCATATCACCACGCTCTTTGACTCCCGATAAATTGAAGCAAAATATGAAGCCTCTTCCAGTTGCTGTCCGAAAGAAACCTTCCCGTCTCCCTAGAGAAAAAGGAAAAAAACAGTTGAGAGCACAAAGAAGTCGAAAAAAGCAAACTGAGGAGAAAGTGAAAAAAAGGGGAAAAAGTGAAAAAGAAATCTTCATCAGTAAAGCTTTTGATTATATTTCTTAGCAAGTGGCAGCGGTTAAACTGAGTTACTCTGTTTCTTTTTTCACTTCAATTTCATGCATAAATTATATATTTTAGCTTTTTTTGTTATTAAAAGATGATTATTTTTTAAAGCGTGTTGCTGTTGTTTATTTAGTTTAATATTGTGAATTTTTTGGTTTCATAATTAATTAAACTGTCTTTATCCTCTTGCATAGTCGAACCGGATTTGTTCTGAAGTGGGTTCAATTTGTTGTGTTTCAGGTTTATTTTTACTTAATTGGGAGATCATCTTCTAACCCGGCTGGGTCGAAGAAATTAACAAGACATAATTTTCATTAGGCGAATGGATACTTCAAAGACAGTTTTACAAGTGTTATCTTGCAGTTTCCCTTGCACGTATAGCTTTGTTCCATCTTTTGGCGGTTCAAATTCTGTGCTTTCGTTCTATTCCGATGTAAAGTGTAGGAAGAATAGAGGTTCTGCGTACAAAAAGTTGAACAATGGGGTGAGATTGTTGGAAAAATGCACTGGTCGAGGAGTAGGAGCTGCTACGTCTAGAGGGAAGGTGAAATGTATTGAGAGGTTGGAGTCTATGAGATGCAAATGCCAACAGGCTGAAAGTTTTGGTGGGGCAACTGCAAATGACTGGAGACCAGTTTCGCTTCCGGTAAATGGCATTGATAGTGCCACAAATATTTTTGAAAAGGGAGGTTTTACAGGGAAGGGTAAAGAAGATGCAGAATCGATTGAGGAAGAAGCGTGGGATTTACTCCGTGCTTCTGTTGTACATTATTGTGGTAATCCAATTGGAACAATTGCTGCCAATGATCCAAACAGTACTAGCATTCTGAACTATGATCAGGTTTTTATTCGTGACTTCATTCCGTCTGGAATAGCTTTCCTTCTGAAGGGAGAGTATGATATAGTAAGGAATTTCATCCTTTATACCCTTCAATTGCAGGTAATGTTATTTATGACTTTTGACTAGTTCCTCATTAACTATTTATACAATATGTTTTATATTATTGTTGTCAAGATAAAGGCCATTTTCTTGTTTCTTAATTTTTTGGTCTTTAGGATGCAGTTGTCTCTGTATATAAGATTAGTACTACAATTGCCGTTTTTTTTTCTTTTAATGGAACATGGAATTTGATTAAGAACGAAGAGTAAGTAATGTAGACAAACATGTGAGGACGAGGCATTGCCCAAATTGGAAAACGAAGTTCTAATACAATAGCTATTTGAATCCTGTTGAATATCAGTCAGGATATCCCACCTCTTGAAAAGCTCCTAATGTAAAATGTTATCTAAAAGCAAGAAAACTACGTCATCCCAAAGGAACCGTTTAGACAGATTGGTTTTTTAAAATTCTGGCATTCTTTCCATCCTTAGGCCCTATATTGTGAAGACGACGAACATCTTCCAAAATCTAACAGTTCATTCTCTCCTAAACACTTTGAACTAGTGTAAGTTCCTTAAAAGTTTGTGGACAAACCCATTGCTTGTCATATATTCCAAAAGGTTGATTTCTCAAACCCCATAGAGTAGGTATTGCTGAAACGGCTGAATGTAAGTATTCCTACTATGAAACCAATATCATGTCAGCCACCATTTTCTTTTTCCTTTTCCAAAATTCCTCTTCCGCGATTTTCCTTGATATGTCAACTCGGAAGCTTAATCATTAAATCAGCAAATCTAGGGACCATTTCTCATGTACTGTTTGATTATTATTTCTAATGGGGATGATCTATCTTAAAAGCTATCCATCTGGTGTTTTGATCTTAGGCATCATTTCTTGGAAGCTTGGAAAGTTAGTTTTGTTTTATTGAGGAATATGAGTTAAACCATGTTTTTTGAATTCATGTCAAATAGGTTCTGTTAGCTTACAAATTTCTTTGAAGTAGATGAATTTGCTCAATCTATTTCTGGTTCTATCAGTTTGCTGAGCAATTCTTCTGTTGATAGAGTTGGGAGAAAACCATGGATTCTTATAGCCCTGGTCAGGGACTTATGCCTGCCAGTTTTAAGGTGCGCACTGTTCCCCTTGATGGTGAGGATTCTGCTACTGAAGAGGTATTAGATGCTGACTTCGGTGAAGCTGCAATTGGCCGCGTTGCACCAGTTGATTCTGGTAAGGGAAATGATTTCAAGAAGTTACCTATTCGGAACCATCCTTAGTTTCTTTTCTTTTTTATTTTATTAGAGAACGTCAAGAATTGTGATTTTCTTGTCAGGATTGTGGTGGATTATACTGTTACGAGCTTATGGAAAATGCTCTGGGGATCTTTCGGTGCAAGAGAGAGTCGATGTGCAAACTGGGATGAAAATGATCTTAAAACTGTGTCTTGCTGATGGTTTTGATATGTTTCCAACTTTGTTGGTGACAGATGGTTCTTGCATGATAGATCGTCGCATGGGAATTCATGGACATCCCTTGGAGATTCAGGTTGATACCTCTGAAAATAATTGTGAAGTTTCACTTGTGAAATTCTGCTCCTTGCCTTTTGTTTCTAATCTTTCCTTAGTGGTTCTTCTTTTTCGTCTTATAGCATTTGAGAACCACTATATTTTTATGACACACACAGACACACATGCTTTAAATGGCCAATTGTTCCTCTACTTTAAACAAAAGGGAAAGAGTAGTTGTTCTCTGTTTTATTTTAGTCTTGAGACAAATTTTAATATCTCGATCAGTCAGGAATTGGTTTGGTGCTCCCATTAATGTACCATTGCTTTTCTAGTCATCTAGTGGGACTTCTTAGCAGAATGTTTAGTCAGAGTTCCATCAAATTACTTGGGTGTTGTTCCTAACTGATGAGGGAATGCGCATTTCTTTTTAATTCTTGGATCATGTAAACATGAGATTCCTAGATACTTCAGTTAATGATCTGTTAGAGTCTCGGTGGTGTAGAAGCAACTATAAGCTTGAAAGTTAGAAAGTTGTCTTGCATCTGGAATGTGAACATGATGGTCACTCATGTTATTTCATTGTCTACTAGTGACTGAGAAATTCAGTTGATATTTCAGTCAACCAAATCCATATAGATGGTTTCAATCTGAAAGGGTGAGTGAATTTGAGGTTCAGAGGTACCTGCAAATATAAACTTTGTGGTTCTTAAATAATGCTTATGCCTCCTACATTAAGGAATTGCACCAAAATTTGCATATAAAATTGATTTTGTTTCAGGCACTCTTTTATTCAGCATTGCTGTGTGCACGTGAGATGCTTACTCCAGAGGATGGATCAGCTGACCTCATTAGAGCTCTTAACAATCGTCTAGTTGCCCTATCTTTCCACATCAGGGAATATTACTGGATAGATTTGAAAAAACTGAATGAAATCTACCGTTATACCACAGAGGAATACTCATATGATGCAGTTAATAAGTTTAATATCTACCCAGATCAGATTCCTCCTTGGCTGGTGGAATTCTTGCCCAACAAAGGTGGTTATTTGATTGGAAACCTGCAACCAGCTCATATGGACTTCCGTTTCTTTACTCTTGGAAACTTATGGTCTATTGTAAGTAGTCTTGCAACATTGGATCAGTCCCATGCCATACTGGATCTTATTGAAGCAAAATGGGGAGAATTAGTCGCAGAAACACCATTCAAAATATGCTATCCTACTCTCGAAGGCCAGGAATGGAGGATCATCACAGGCAGTGATCCCAAGAACACGTGATTGCTTTACCTTGAAATCTTCTTATGTCCTTGTTATTTTTTTGACTTTAAATGTTTATTTATAGTTCCTGCTCAATATTCTTAACTTGTTATTTTGCTGCAGACCTTGGTCTTACCACAATGGAGGATCTTGGCCAACTTTGCTTTGGCAGGTTAGTTTAGTGTTCTAAAGTTCAATCAAGGTTTAAAGCCACTATTTTGTTAGAGCAGGATACATTCTGCCATCTTGATAGCATTTCTTCATGGCAATCATAAAACCCAATTCCTTAATCATGTTCACGAAATTTTGGGCAATTTCTATACTGTATAATTTGAACTATACAACTACGTTTGATTGTGACATCTTTGCTTGAAATATCTCAATTGCTGCAACTCTCGCTCTTTTAGGAATATCTTTTTTTTTCAAGATTAATATAACCAAATTTCTTGTAGGCAATCCTGAAAAATTGACTGGCATGGCTAATTTCTGCAGAAGTGTTTCTTGTTGCTCCCAACAATGTCATGACTTGTTTATTTTTCAGTCACCATTTGTATAGAAATTTCTAGAGGCTGCCTTTTCCTCTAGCACTGCTCATAATTGATTTCCATTTCCTACTTTTTCCGTTATATTTCGTCTATATAGATTTTCTATGCTTTATATGTGTAACGGCTACTCATAGCATATAGTCAAACAGTTAAAAGTGACTTCAAGTGCCAATTACTTTGTTGCATGGCACTGCAGAGGAGTTGCTAGTTAATGTTACCATAATATGCCAACGCCCTATGGCAGCTGATGGTTAGGCAGGCAAGTTGAAAGTCCTTGACCACATAGATTATGTATTAGCCTGTGGAGCCAGACCTCCTTTTTCGGATGAACCTTCTTTATCGGATGAATAAAGCATGAACTGCTGCTGATTGTGCATTCAAAACAATGATTAGTAAGCGTGTAGTTTGATCCCAATTTGTATTTTGTGACCTATGATTGAATATTCTCTTCAATTGCTTTTAGATACCATCATGTTCAGGAAGTTACAATGCCTAAATGTATGGTTGTTTTGCACCTTCCAATGTTTTAGTACTAGATATGTCAGATAAGGACTATTATGTTACCCAGTAAAATTTGTGATACCCAGCATGTTTGTAATTGCAATTTTGTTCATTTTCTCTCTGCATGTGATTTTGAATTAGAATATATTTTTCTTTCAAACTAACTCTTTTACGGGGCTTCTTTCAGCTTGCCGTAGCATGCATAAAGATGAATAGACCAGAGATCGCTGAAAAAGCCATTGAACTTGTTGAGAGGCGCATATCTAGAGACAAGTGGCCGGAATATTATGACACTAAGCGAGCAAGATTTATTGGAAAACAGGCACGCTTATTTCAAACCTGGTCTATTGCAGGTTACCTCGTGGCAAAACTACTCCTTGCCAACCCTAGTGCAGCAAATATGTTCATAAATGAAGAGGATCCAGAGCTTGTAAATGCTTTAATCAGTGCCAACCCAAGGAGGAAACGTGCTAGGAAAGGCTTCAAGCAGCCCTTCATTGTATGACTTTTATCTTGTGAACCTAAGATGAGAATTACTACACATACTTCTCCAAATTTTGCTAATATAGTAACAGAATTACAGAGGCATGAGGCTGATAGTGTACTGCACTGAGAAATGCAGATGCCGGTGCTTTGTTACCATTCATCTCCTCTAATATTTCAGTTTGGCATGAATGAGTAGAAATGATAAAGCTGGGTCGATAGGGAGGATAATATAGTATTACGAACGTTAAGTAGAGTGGTTGATCAACACTTGCCTAAAGCCAAAAAAACTTGCATTTTGTTTCCTTGCACTTCTTCATTTTTTGTACTCAACTACGGAAATGCACAAGTGGTTACTAGAATTTCTTTGATAAAAAAGGCTTCACCCATTCAACCAGCAGAGCAGCAGATGCGAACTTGCTGGTGCTTCAAGCATTCTAGAAGAATGTTGAGTTGGTATTTGGTTAGATGATGATACCTTGTGTCAGGACTTACGGCCAAGGGACATTCTCAGGTAGATAGTTTCTATGGGGTGTAGGCCTTCCCAAAGGTAACATAGGCGTGCAAACTCGAAATTAGCCGCCGAGTGTAAAGGCAGAAGGGAGTTTGACTGCAAGGCCCATTCGTTGAGCAGGGACAAAAGTCGGCCTTAGTGTCCGACGGTGCCTAGTGGAAGGGTCGTCGCTCAACAGATAAAAGTTACTCTAAGGATATTAGGCTAATCTTCCCCAAGAGTTCACATCGGCACGAAGGTTTAGCACCTCGATGTCAGCTCTTTGCCACCTAGGGCTATAGTATGTTCCAAGGGTTGGGCTGTTTGTCCATTAAAGAAGTACGTGAGTTGGGTTTAAAACATCGTGAGATAGTTTGATCCATATCCGATGTGGGCTTTAGAGCATGGAGAGGACCTTTCCCTCTAGTAAAAGAGGATCAGGAAGAACGCGCCTCTGATGTATAAATTATTGTGCTCACAGTAAATGCTGGATAAGTAAGTGCGGAGCGGATAATTGCTGAAAGCATGTAAGTGTTAAGCCTAAGGTAATGTTCTGTTGTGACTTTGGTTGATCTAATGTTGTATTAGATCTAAATCCAAACACTGGTTTCAGAATTTAATTTGGCCGGAACAGCTCGAGAGTGTTCTATCGGAATGGTTATGATTTCTTTCAGAAATTAGCAAACTTTTAAAGTAGATTCATGCATTTGTCGACTGTCTACGTTAAGGAAACAACACAGATCACACGATGAAATTATAGAAAGAGTGTCAAGTCAAAGTCATCTTGGAACAAGTACCAGGAGGCAGTAGCATCCGTATAATGAACCCGCGTTGAATTCTTGTCAAGTACATCTTAAAGAAATTATATTATAGCTAGGACAGGAGACATCCATCTGGTTTTGCTTTGTGACTGCATCATTTTGATCTCAAGTCTCAACAACCAAGTGCACGGACAATTGATGCATTCTTTTTTGGCAATAAACCATAAGCTTTACTATTTTAATTTTCCGCTTGAAACTCTTTTTTTTTTTTAATTTATTTTTTTTCAAAGGGTCGTCTTTTTTATGTACTACTTCTCTGGGTTCTGTATATTTGTGGAACCTTTCAAACTTTTAATTAAACATCTAATCTAAGCTTGTGATTTCAAATAAAGAAGACAAAAGACAAAAAGATAAGGTAACATATGTTATACAAGGATTATTAGAGAAAAAACTGACCTTAACTAACTAGTTTAGGACTAAGGTTTTAGTTGATTTGTCTAAGGGTTACGTTAAAATGCAGTCTCCAGAGGCAGTCCTTTGTCTTGATTACACTAAAAGTCAAAAGTTAACAAACAAAACCCTTAATTATGGCATTGTTGTTTTTCTCACCACCTCAAGGCGGAAACCAAGTATGCAAAAGTATAACTGGATAAACAATAAGATTAGAAATGAAATCTAGGTTAAAACTAGATAGAAAATTAATAACATAAACTCTAAAAGTTGATAGAAAATTGCTGCATAAACACAAAGGCACTACAGAGGCCATCCTACCCAAGCCTAACAATTTCCAATATTTGACAATTACAACAGAACCAAATGAATCGTTATCGTTATCTTTGGTTTAGCACAAACTACTGGATAGGATAAAAGCAAGTAAAATAACCAAATGAATCGTTATCTTTGTAATAGCACAAACTACTGGGTAGGATAATAGCAACTAACAGAACCAAATGAATTGTTACCTTTGCATTAGCACAAACTACGGGTTTAACATCCAAAGCAACATTCACTTCCATTTCCCGGTAATAATATAAGAAATATCATGGGCAAAACAAAGGGACAAAAACAGATCCCTGATGACTACCGGAGTTTAACATTATCTACTCTGTGATAGATAACATGCGATTGCTTTAAATCACTAATAAAATGTTTGTGCAAGATGCCAAAGGTCCAGCATTTAACCACAAGTTAATTTTTTTCTGCCAAAATGCTGTCCAACAATGATTCACAAGCATCTTCAAGTAGATCCAAAACCTGTGATAAAAAAGAAAAATCATGAGGTTAGCAACAACCAAAAATGCATTTGAGTTTCTTTTCAATTATCTTGCTAAATTAAGAGTATTCGAGAACAGAAACTGAGAAGGTCAGCTCAATCATCTTCTACGGGAGGACCATTATCTTGACAGTAATCAATCAAGACATTTTGATAATTTTTATGACCAGACAAGTATTCAATTTCTTTTGCACAGAATGGTCAATGCATCTATCATGGTAAAATTAAAGCAGGCAAGTTAAGAGTTGAAAAATTAGATTAGAGAGAAGCGGTTTGGCCTACTGCCTGCATGATTGCAACACACCATGGGTCACAAGGTGAAGGAAGCTAAAAGAAATGGGATAAGCAAAGCAATCCTATAACAAATACCAGAAGACAAAACTTTAATCTGTAATCCAACATGCATTGAAGGATCAACAAACACATCAGTAGTCTGATGAAGAGGCAATTTCTGATTCAAAATAATATAGGGAATGTGTAAAACAAAAGTTTGTAAGCCAAGACAACCGATATATTCTAGCTTCCCTTTAAGCAGCAGCATCTATATTGAAGTAAATCTCAGTTCATTTCTTTAGAAACTAATCTAATCACATCACTATATTGTTCTAAATACAGTTTAATGAAGAAAACAATCAAGCAACTTAAGCCTTGATATTGAAGACTTTATCAAGATTAAACAAACTTTCAATACAAGCTCTGAAGTTTAGCTGAAATACTAATACATCACCTTCTCAAAACCCTGAGGTCCGCCATAGTAAGGATCCGGGACTTCAGTTTCATCATGTTTCTTACAAAAAGAACACATTAGCTTAACCTGCGAAAACAACAGAAGCATACAAGACTTAACAAAACAACCACCATGCTAAAATTCATACCAAAACCCTATGTCTTTCACTGACCTTCTTGTGTGCATCATCAGGAAGTGTCTCTCTAAATTTCCACCTATTAAAAGCTTCCATTATATCCTCTGCATAAAACCCAATTCGAATATAACAACATGTTATCAAAAGGAAATAAAGAAGCTAATAAATAAATGAAAAAAAAAAAAGGAAGATTATTTATGCCTCTATTTTTCTGGTCCATAGCAATAATGATATCAAAATCTCTAAAATCAGATGGTCGAATGGGCCTTGATATGGAAGTTATTTCAACCCCACGCCTTTTAGAAGCTGCCCTCATTCTTGGGTCTGCTGGATTGCCCTTTATTAACCACAAAAACAACAAAAGAAAAATTAATTTTGCTATTTTTTCACTTTTCTCTACAATCAAAGCAACAAATTTTTAGAAAGATATGTCTTACCTCATGGTAATTAATGGTGCCAGCAGAGTCAATCTTAAACTTAGAATCAAGTCCTCTCTTCTTAACAATATCAGTAAACACACCCTCAGCAGCTGGACTCCTACAAATGTTGCCTAAACACACAAAGAGAACAGAGAACGGTCGGGCCTCTGTCGAAGAAGCCATTGATGATACTGCTGCTGCTTTGATCACTAAGGACCTGAAATGGATAGCACTGCTTGTGGGATTTTTCCGAAGATGATGATTGGAATATTGGAGAAATGGGTATTTATTAATTACAGGAAATGGGTTTTTTTTAGAGAGGATTTTGGTGGCGTTGTGGCAAAATTGTAAATTTAGAGATGGGTTTGGAAACCTGATATTAATACTGCTGTACAAGGTTGCGGTTGATGTCCTCACCATCCCTCCTGTGACGGTGGACGTGTTGGCAAAGGATATAGGGAGGATATTCAAGAATGGGAGTAATTTTGTTTTGGGTGTGTTGGATTTTGATTGGTCTAAAAATTATTTTGCGAAGGTAAGACTTCAAATAAAATGGGGCTGGTAATGGATACGGGTACTTGGGTCGGGTTTTGTTGAAAGGAAAAAAATTATTGCATCATTTACTTTATATATATAAATATACACATTCCACAGCAAAGAGCAGTATTTTTAGCATGATTACATGTATAAAACGATTAGCAAGATAGCAAATGGTTAAAGCAATTGCAGAAAGCTAAGATATAGCAGAAAATAGGTTAAACCATGGAGAAAAGAAATGCAAATTCCATACGGAGACTTGGATGCTCAGATAAATAAGAGAGCAATGCTTCTCCACCTCCACGTTCTAAATTACTTCCCCCATTTCACATTTCCACTCTAAACTAGAGTTAAGGTATACATATATCTCATACTTAATAAGCTGCCGCCAACTTCCGGAATTACATTTACACTATATGGGTATTTGCCATAAATATATATATATAGATAGTTACAATAATGATGCGAAACCTCATTTTTTCAAAAAGAAAATCAAACATCTTTCCTATCTCACATCAGATCATTCCAGACTAAAACATCTCAAACTCTCTTTGCTCTTCTGTATCCTTAACTTCCTTACACTTAGACGTAATTGATGTAATTCCAGTATCAAATTGCTTGGGCAGCTCTGGTGGAATTGTACACCGTATCAGAGCCCAATTGAGGCCATCGAAGAAAGGGTGCTGTTTGATCTCTGCAGCCCCTTTAGCAGATCCTAGCCGATTCTCAGGTTCCTTTATCAACAATCCTCTAATCAAATCACGTGCATGAAAACTAACTATAGGGCTACTGGGGAACTTGAGGCTTCGTGACACAACGTTGGACAATGTTTCCTCATTTCCTGAGCCCTTGAAAGGTGTTCTACCATATAACAGCTCAAACAAGAAGATTCCAAATGTCCACCAATCAACAGCACTGCCATGACCCTCACCTTTGATGATCTCTGGAGCGAGGTATTCATGAGTCCCAACAAAGGAGTTAGAACGAGCACTGGTTGGCTCCACTACCACCTGTGGCAGTGGGCTGACCTGAGCAGCTAGGTCAGATTTTAACTTCTGAGATTTCGCAGCAACTGATAGAAGTCTTGGAGTGAAACACGATACTTGCCAGGCTGGATGGAGGCAAAAAGGGTCAATACAGCTAGCTTCAGAGCACGGACTTGACATCTTTTTCGTGGGCTCTTCAGCAGGTGAACATGATTGAAGTAGAACTGGATTACCAGCACACCTGAGTGATAGGTCAAAATCTGAAAGCATGATGTGTCCATCCTCTCGGACCAGAATATTTTCTGGTTTTAAATCTCGATAAACAACTCCAAGCATGTGTAAGTACTCCAGTGCAAGGAGGACTTCGGCAACATAAAACCTACAAACATGATTGTGTCAAAATGATTGAAGAGACAAGAGGTACAAGCAAACCTCTTCTAATATATCTATGTCTCTATCAAAGTAATTTACAAGGGCGTGCTCCTAAAATCAGGACTGGCTCTGGGCAGTTAAATATCGATCCTTTTTTAGTTTATTTTTTGGTCTACAGAGTACTAGTAAATATCACAACTATGTAGCAACAATTCATATAGAAAGGATATGAGCTTTTTTTTTTTTTTTTTTTGGTATATAGTTAGAAGATATTGAACAAAGTTTTGCCTACCAAGCCATTCCATCTTTTGATCGATCAGTTAAGGGCAACTGAAGCATACAAGCAGAAAGGCTACATGTATCCATTGAAAAACACATGTTAACAACTAGCACTCAGATAGACGAACTGCAACCTAGTTGACAAAGTTCATCCTCCAATCCACCACTTAAAGCTCTTGAAACTTGAAAATTACTAAGCATGATGCGCAGACATAAATTACAAACAACACTGAGCTTGAGTCCATGCATTCTGCAATTCACATCCACTCGCTACTTATTATGTTCCAGCTATGAGAGAGATGAAGGCTGATGATGTTCCCTAGAAAACCTAAAAACCCCTATCAAGTGTCTCCACTTCTTTGGAGCACAAGACTGGGTATCCAAGTTGTGATGTGGCATAACAATTACATCACCAGCACACTTTCACATGCATCCATTCACTATACCATCTATAAATAGCTTTCAAAATCATCAACTTGTAAGTTCAGTTTAAGAGTCTAGTTTTTAAAACCTGCTGCACATTCCCGTGTACCAATAAGACTGTTGCTCCATTAATTTGCTTCGCATGTACCATTAAGGCATACCAAATTCATAAGAAACGCAGCTACTAGACCCCAATTGATTACAAGAGTCCCCACCTTTGACTATGGCTTCATGTTTCCCATCAACTAACCTACTGTAACGCCATTGAGTCCATCTTTTTCAACATACAACTCCTCACTGCCGCACTCCCCCCCCCCCCCAAACTTTTTTTTTAGGGATGAAATGCTAGGCACAAACCAATTCATCTGCCCTCATATTGATGATCGATGAATGTGCAACTACATTCACAAATTGAAATGCAATGATGTGAGCAGGAAATGCATGGACCATGTCACTGAGGATATCGAAACTGGAGCATTGTCCAGGAATGTATCTCAGTACGCATTCACGTGTGTTGTTTTTGTGTGTGTGTGTGAGAGAGAGAGAGAGAGAGAGAGAGTCTGTGGCCCCGCTCACCAGCTCCCACACACAAGTGCGCGCAAGCATGTGCGCGTGTGTGTGAGAGAGAGACGGACATCTAGGGTGCATAATATACAAGAAACAAGAGTTATTAGTCGAGTAAAATACATTGCAAAGCCTAAGGCTGGAAAATTTATGAGAACTTAAATGGAAATTAGTACCTTGCAGCTTGTTCTGAGAAACTCCTGCCAGGTTGTTTCTGCCGCAGCACATGCAGATCTCCACCAGGACAATACTCCATAACCAAGCAGGAAAGTTTATCTGAAATGAAGTGAGCATACAATGTAGGGAGAAAAGGATGATCCAGCATCTGCAAAATCTTTCTCTCAGTTAGGGCCCTAGACATCTTCTTCCTACTTGCCAAATAGTCATTATCCATCACTTTCAGAGCAAATAGGCAATTTGCACCACTTAGCTCAGCAAGATAAACAGACCCGATATCCCCACAACCAAGCTTCTTGATCAGCTTAAAATGTTTCAAACAAAAGTTTCCGTGCTGCTTCTGAATATGGCGAATGGCTTCCCACCTCAAGTCCTTTGACATGTGCGGCCGACTGCTACTACGACTAGACCCACTTAGATTGCTATCATCACTAATACTCGTGCTACTACTATAGTCACCAATGCTACTTTTTGAACTTTGTGAGAATTCCCCCTTTTCTCTTGATCTTGATCTTTCATCCACCTTTGTCAATACAGATCTCGTTCTGTTAGCAACATTAGAACCGGAACCCAGCCTGCTTGAACTTGTGTCAGCAATGATTGAATTGTACTCAGTACTATGATTACCACTAGAAGCTGGAGAAGTTTTCAGACCTCTCTTTCCACTCTCCAGAATACAATCATGCATCATGTTGTCCGAATTGCTTGTACTAGGATTCAGATCGCTGTCGACTTTTTTATTACTTGGATTGGAAGTGCTGGAGGCAGAAGCTGAATCATGCTTTACCTTCTTCTTAATGAAGTTCTTGCTCCTGAAGATTGGCTTGATAAAGCACGGAGTGTTACATACAGAATTACTCACACTACGACCAGGGCTTGAAACAGACACAGAAAGTGAAGAAGCAGCATGCAACTGGTTTTTCCCCTCTTCTGGAGCTGGAGTTTTGACAGAAACTTTGATTGAGGCAGAAGCAATCTCATCTGCCTCTTTTAGTTTCTCAGCAACCTGATTGGTAGATGAACAATCTGAAGATTTAAGCTCTCCAACTGCTTCCTTTGATATTTCATTATCAAACCCTGTAGGTAGAGGAACAACCTGATCCCGTGATGAATGGAGATTTTGATCTGATAACTCTGGCTTTACCATTTGTGAGGATTCGAACATCTTATCAGAAGAATTTGATGTGATTTTTTCTGGTACAAGAGAGATTTCTACCAAATTTCCATTACCTTCATTTAGGGGGAGCCCAGATCCATCAGCCTCAACTACCACTGCCCGGTACAACCTTTTGATAGTTCCCACTTCAGAGGACCTTGATGAATTTGTTGGTCTTGATAATCGCTTCATTGCTGCCATCTCTGATGCCTGAGAGATGCATAAACCCCTCAAAGCCTGCTTCAAACTAACAGGCTCTGAAATTCCAATTCCTGACATTTGAGGTGAACCAACCCTCATTGGTCTCTTCATAGCTTTCTTCCGTAAAGCATCTTTAACAACTTCATCATGGTGCTTAGCTGAAGTTCTAATCTCAATTGCTTCAAAAAGACGATTGATGTCATCTTCAATAGAATACCTATTTCCCAATTTTAAAACAGAATGCTTCCGGCCTTTCTCGTCCATTTTCAATTCAAAATCTAACTCTTCATTTGATTCTACGATTTCAGAAATACTGGGCACCGCATCCATCTCCATGGTATTCACTCAACTACTACAGACAATAGACTTTGCAAGAACTATATTAACCCAATTCCAGGGAAGCATTTCGAATATAAAGCAGCACAGATATCAGAAAGAACACCATATATCCTTGGAAATTCTCTTCAAACATAATGATCCTCGAATCTAAACAGCCCCGTTAAAACCCTTCCACTAACCTCAAAATGGAGCATTCAAATCCTGCCATGATCACCAATTTCCATTGAGAGAATTGTTGATTCCATAAATCGAAAAAAATACATAACTTAAACTAACACTTCATATAAAAAAAAAAATCTAATTTAAATTCAATATTGAGAGCTCTGAATCAAAAGTAATCAAAGCCCCATTTGCAGACATGATTGAAATTTACCAAACTTGTTTTACCACTATTTGTCAAAAAAGAAAGGGAGCTTATTTGACATAAAAAGAAGAGTTTCTTTTGATTTAAGCAAAAGTGTAAAGATGTGCCTACGCTTGGCCCTCATAGCTTTTCTTTACCAACAATTCATATGACTGACATTGATCAAGCAACCAACATTCAGACAATAACATAGCTACAAAACAAAACAAAAAAAAAAGGTTTCCCACTTCAAATAACCTTTTTCAGTTCTTATTTGGCCATTACATTTAATAATCACAATCATATAATAAACATAATTGGTTGTCAAATCCACTATTCTAGATCTTGTTAATCGTGTTAAATCAAGCCACCAGAAATTTTTTGGGTCAATTCATGCTTGTATTTTCAGTTATCAAAACATGCTTTTATATATATATATATATATATATATATATGAGAGAAAAAGTAAAGTGATTTTTCACTTCAAAATTGAATATCCAAACTCCCAAGTCCCACCACCATGTGTACAATTACAAAAAATTAAATCAACTCAACCAATTCAAAATGTGTAGTTTAAGATTAAAAAATATTGTTATCATTCCATAATAATAGCAACAAAATTCACACCAAAAGAAAAAACAAAAACAAAAAACATAGAGCAACTCTCTGTGAACTTGATAAATCAAAAGAAGAGGAGGAAGAATAAAATCAAATAACGAAAATTGAAAAGAAAAGAAATATCATTGCTTATGTTCAAAGAAATTTAAAGACCCAAAAAAAAAAAAAAAGACAAACTCAAAAGTGAAATTCAAAAAACTAAAAAACAAAAAACCAAAACTGAAACAGAAACACTACAAGAAAATGATCTCTGTTCAAAAAAAAAAAAAACAGAAGCTCCTTACCTGAAAAAGATCAGAACCAATCAGACACGAAAAAGCAGCGGCTGAATAACAGGAAGAAGCCGAGAAGGAGAAGAAATGGTAGGTATCGAGAGGGAGAGATGATGGTTAGGGTTAGAGCTGGCGTTAGGGGTTAGGGCACGAGAGAGAGCGGTGGGAGAGTGATTGAGGAAAGAGAAAGTTGGAATGCAAATCACGAGAAGTATCAGTAGCTTACTGTTTCTTTTCCTTCTGTTGGGTAGTGATTGAATAACAACATTTATCAATGAACAGTATTGACAACATTTATCAGTAGCATTTAAAGCTCGATAGAAGCGCGTGTTTGGGTTTTAATTTTTACTCATGACAAAGCAGTCCTTTATCTTCAAACTATTCCTATATCTTTCCCTATACTTTCTTTATTCTAACAAATTCGCCCCTATTGGTTTGCTTACTGTTAAATTGAGTTACAGAAATTTCATATTGAGAATTTTGTTTGATTATCATAGAATGAATTATTTCAAATATACTTGATTTTTTTTTATCATTTTTGTTATAATTAATCAAATTTATTGAATATGTTATATTGAAATGTTATGAAAGATCAAAGAGTAAATTACAAGTTAATCTCTTTAGTATTGCAAGTTTTGTTTTAAAGATTAATTATTCGTTTTTTTAAACAGTGTTACTATAGTTAATTTAATATTATTACATTTTAAAAATATTTTTTCTCATATTTTTTATATTTATTTATTTTCATTTATTAAAACAAATTAACAAAATAAATTAAAATTCTAAAATAATCAAGTTACAAATAGATTTAAAAATATAAACTAATTGATTAGTTATTAAAATTAAAACAGACTATTTGATTTCTTTTATAAAAACTAAAATCACTAATTTATAATTTACTCATGAATTAAATTGAAATATATATATAAAGGGACTTCTTGATACATTCATGATTAAAAAAAAATTATATCTAAACATAACATTCAAACTTAATAGTTCAATTTGATCTTTTAAATGATTAAGACGATAATATATATTTATCCAAAATTATTAATTATTAGTAAAACAAAATAATGTGCTTAGCATCACGATACTAAACAAAAATAAATAAATAAATCTCTATTCTCATTGATAAAATCAATCTATTTCATTTTTTAGATAATTAGCTAGGTACATAAAATTTTATTTCAAGTTTTTCAACCAACAATCACCCACCAATAAGTTGGCTATGTATATGTCCAAGATTTATGAGCAGGGGTGCCTTGGTCCGAGTCCCCTACCGTACAAAAAAGAAAATGAAGTAAAAAAAAAAAAAAATTTACCCAAACAAAGTGCAAGGACGAATCATCCATTGGTTAGTCCCACTCCCATTTATTTTCAAACAAACGTGTGGAAAGCACTCTCGCTTTATCTGTCAGCCACGTAATATTGTCAGACTCTGATTCATTGACAAAATAATGTCAACCAATCCTTTTCCCTGTTTCTTTCTCTGAAATGGCGGAAAAATGAGCAGAGCAGTGTGAATTTATATAAAAAAAAACAAAACGAAGAGGAGTAGCCGAATAGGTACCCAATGCTGCTCGCTACCTTTACCTATGCTATGCTATGGGGTAAATTATAAATTAGTCCCTCTAATTTTATAAAACTAATTAATAGTTTTTTCAAAAGTTAATTAAATAATTAATTTTTTAATCAGTACTGAACACAGTTAATTTAATATTATTTTATGAATTTTTTCATAATTTTTTATTTTTTTATTTCTCAAAATAAAAAAAATTGAAAAAAAATTAAGTTACAAAAAGATTTAAAAATATATAGACTAATTAATGAGTTTTTAAAACAGGAGTAACTGTTTAATTCATCTTGTAAACCTAGAGGGACTAATTTACAATTTAATCCTACGCTATGCTGCAGGTGACGATTGTCTACTTTAAGGTGTATTTTAGTCTCTTGGTTTGGTTAACTAATTAATTAATGTCATGGAGGAACGAAGGGGACAAGACGGAAGGAGACCTTTTTCAAATCTTTTAGCCTTAACCAGTTTTTGAAAAATCCAACAACTATCTTTTAAAAACCCATTTACTAATTTCTTTTTTTATAGTATAATTGTGTACCTACATCAACAACTATCTTTTAATGCAGTTCTGATTAGTATATTGAGATTAAGTTTATTCTCTATTGTTTTTTAAGAAAATTATTCAACTTTTCATCCAATATATTTATAAGAAATTATTTTCTCGTAATTTTTTAAAATTTAAAATTTAAATGGCAATGTCAAAAATAAACTAAAAACTAAAAGTATTGTTTTGTGTTTTCTATTTTTTTTTGGTTTAGAGCAAATAAAATCAATAATTATTACCGTAATTTTTAAAATTCAATCTGATTTTAAAAAAGTGTTTGTTGGTTATTATTTTTTTAAAAAAAAAATTGTAATGGACATCTAACTACATTATATTAATTTTCTATACAAAAAAAGGAGATAGGGTGATTATAAAAATAGGTCTATGGCTATAAGAAACATGTTAATCACCCTAAAATTAATTTTGATCAAGTCGTTGTTGACAGCACAAGTGGGAGAAAAGCTCCACTAACATTGAAACTTGGAGGACCCAATGCCGAAGGAGAACAAACAAAATATCATTGTAATGTCTATCAACCCAACGAAATTAAAGTTCTTTTCGTCAAATGATTACATTTTTTGAAACTTCTACCGATTCATGCTGTAAATGTCAAATTAAGCGTCCATGCTACTGTGTTTTTGAAGTGAGTAAATTTTAGATGAAAATCTCCACCAATCCCAATGACTTCCAAGTCTCAAATCCTTCCAAACCTAAATAATTTCCTTTACATAGGTAGGTGTACCTGAAGGCCCTACTAGGAATGTCGACGAACTAGCTTTATTGAGGCTCATTATCGTCAAGCAAACTTGCAACCAAATCTGCAACTTCTTCCATGAATGAAGGAAAGGGAGTAGGGTCTAATGTGAGAGCTTTGGCCAGGCAAATTAATTAATTTATAGTAGAAACATTTTTAAATTGACCATGTCTTCATTGTCATCTCGTGGATTGCATTTGCAAACAAAGCCTTAATCTATCTCTTATCTAGCCAATTTGTTAGAATTGAGAAATAATAAGTTATAGATCAGTTTCTCTATTTTTAATAAAAGAATTAATTAATTTTTATTTAAAAATTTATTATTTAGTTCTTTTATCAATATCGAGTATGTTTAATTTAATATTTATTTATTTATTTAAAAAAAAATCATATTTTCTCATTAATTTTTTTACATTTTTTTCTATTTCTTAAAATAAAAAATTAAATTAAATTAAAAAATGATTAAGTTATAATTTTTTTTTAAGAATATGAAGACTAAATAATTAGTTTTTAAAATAAATAGTCTAATTAATTTGTTTTTTCAAAATTAATAGAACTAATTACTCTTGTAGTTAATAAAAGGTGCTTGATCAGCTAATCACCAAGAATTTCAATACTTTAAAACTACGCATAAAAAAAAAACGATAATAAAATGTTGATGTTGATAGATTAATGGAAAAAAAAATCATCTGTGGACTGCGAAACATACACAGGTGTGAAGTCAGTCACTCTCTCTCTCTCTCTCTCTCTCTCTCTCAACCAGAGCCTTCCATCCTGGGACCTTTCTTCCCTCTCTGAAAAGAAAATGAAAAATATTTTACAGGTTTGCTCTATTTTCCTAATTTGTCATTTCTTTCTAAGGATTTTAACATGGGAATTTTCTATTACGG